CTGGGGATGTCATTTGTTCCTTTGCCTGTTCCTGGGGCAGTGTAAGCCCGGGACTGGGGTCTGGACACACAGCAGCCAGGACAGTGATGGAGCCAGAGGGGTGGAACCCCCAGGATCCCGATTTTGTCCCGCTGTGTGGCTCAGTGCAGTGGTTTGCTGCCATCTCCTGGGTACCAGCAGCACCATTGAGCCCCAATTGGCCGTGCTGGAGCTGGGGCTCAGCAGGGACCAACCCTGGGGCCACCACCCGCCCCAAAAGCCGAGCCCACCTCTGGCTAAGAAGCCAGCTGGGTCCCGGGCATGGTCACAACATTCTCCCGTCTCATTTTATTTCTCCTCACCTCACACAGGTGCTACAACTGCGGCGGGCTGGACCACCACGCCAAGGAGTGCAAGCTCCCTCCGCAGCCCAAGAAGTGCCACTTCTGCCAGAGCATCAGCCACATGGTCGCCAACTGCCCCGTGAAAGCACAGCAGTCGCCCAGCTCGCAGGGAAAGCCCGCCTACTTCCGAGAGGAGGAGGACATGCACAGCCCGGCCCTCCTCCCCGAAAATCGGGAATGATGGTGGGTGGCAGGGAGAGGGGGCTTCCACCGGGATGAAAGGCTTTGGCAAGGCAAGGGGCAGGAGCGGGCAGGGCGGGTGGCAGTGCTGGCAGCGGGGACCTGGTGTCCCTGCTCAGACCTTTCCCCCGTGCCCAGGCTGGGAAAAGCCCTGCTAGCATCAGGATGGCTTGTTCCAAAACAGGGGAAGGCAACACACTTCATCCCGCTAAAAACCCCGAAAATATTTGATGAATCTTTATTCTTTTCCTAAGTTAAGCCAGGCAGTCGTGTCCTGGGGAGGAGGAGCAGAGGGGCAACATCCCAGGGAGGAGCTGGTGGCTCCTTGTTCTCCGGGAGGGAAAGGCTGGTGTGGAGCAGCAGGGACACGGCCGTGGGCCGGTCCCGCGGGTCCCTCTGCTCCTCGTGGCTTCTCGCTGTCAGGGAGGGGTGAGGATTTACGGTTTTTCCCCGGTTGCTCCATTCTGCCAGCAGCAGAGCCCGGATTTGGGCTCAGTCAGGATGACATGGATCATCTCTCAGGGCTGTTCTAACACCACCTGCTTGTGGGCAGCCTGGGGGAGAGCAAGTCAAAGCAAAACCGCTTTTATCACCCTCATCCTCCCAGAGAGCACGAGGTGCTCCATGCAGCCAGCTCTCCCCTCTCAGGCTTCTCCCAGCCCCTGGAACTCGGGAAACAACTCTGCTCCTCCTGCCCACGCCACGCTGTGGGGCTGAGCCTCCCCAGGGACAGGGGATGAAGCTGTCCTGGGTTTGTCCCCCTTCCCCACAGCCCTTCCCAAGTCTTGCCTTTATTTATTGGCCCCGGTGGACCCCCCCTTTCTCCCGGGGAGCCCCCCCGGCCGTGCCGAAGCCAAGGCCAAGTGAAAGCTGCACTAGGACGTGCGTGAATGACGTATCTTTGGGTTTGTTCGTCGTCTTTGTTTTGGGTTTGTCGTTCTTTTGGTTTTTATTTTTTTCTTTCTTTTTCCAGTTTTCATTTTTCTTTCTTCTTTTTTCTTTTTTTTTTTTTTTTTTTTTTTTTTTTTTTTTTTTTTTTTTTTTTAATATAAATATTCTGGGTTTGTATTTTTGTATATTTTAATCTTTAAGAAAAGAAAAAAAAAAGAAAAAAAAAGGAGAGAAAGGACATAATTCCTGCAACTTATTCTCAGGTATTCGAGCAATCTCAGGGATAAAATGCCTCTGTAGCCCAGTGCTGGACAGAGAGGAGGGTTTTTTCTAACAGCACAAAGAAATAATGAAGTTTGTATTGGAAGTGTAGATCTACCTCACTGGATGTTTGCTAGGTGGGCTGACATGTTGTCGAGCTTTTCCAATGTGTTTTTTGGTGTGTTTGGGATTTGTTTTCTTTTGAACTGTATTTTAATGGTCTCTTTCCCTTCCCCATGCACTGATGGAGGCATTTGGGTCTGTGGATCCGTGTGTGGGGATGGAGAAGCCAGGCAGTGCCATGGGCAGGGAATGGCTGTTGGCTCCCTGAGTTTCTCCAGCCTGGTGGCTTTTGAGGAATGTCCTGATTCTGTCTCCTGTTTACTCTCACTCCTGGTGGGAGCACTCCAGTGCACCCCGTGCCTGAGCCCTCCTGCTGCCCCACGGGCTGGGATGTCACACAGGCTCCCAGCAGGCTGGGGTCACGATGGGGGTCCCAGCCCCATCCAGGGGGACAGAGGGGGAGCAGGCAGTGACCAGGGAGTGTTGGGAGACAGGGCTGCCCTCAGTCCCTGCCCTTCCTCACCCTGGAGCTCAGGGCTGGCTGTCCTTGGCCTCCTGGGACAGGGTTCCAAGTCTGAGGGAGCTGCAACTGCTCCACCTTTTTCTCCTTCCTGGTTTGCCTCAAATGCTGACCCACCATGGCTGGGGGAACTCTGGATCCCAGGTTTTGGGGTATGAACGCTCCTCTTGCAGCCCAGGGGGTGGCTGGAGCCTCCCCAGGGAGGGTGTCTGGCCGTGGGCACATTTCCTGCTGGTTTTTAGTAGCAATAGGTGTAGATGTGGGGCAGGGTTGGATCAGATAGGAGCACCCACTCCATCCCCGGGGATGGGGGACTCTGGGGGGACTCACTGAGGCTGCTGGAGCCTGGTGACCCCCAGCACGTGGGCATTGGGGGGGATGGAGAGCAGCCCCCAGCTGCTCCCTGCCCTGCTCCAGTAGTTTAGGGTGAGGTGGTGGTGTCTTCTTGGGAGAGGGGGGAAGGACTTTTAGTTCTTGACTAGCAACGGGGTCTGTACAAAACTGCTTCAGGAAAACAGCTTTAGTGTGACGGGGTAAATGCAATAGAGCCTTGGGGGGTGAGCCTTGGCCTCCCCCCGGCACCTCGGCCGTGCCAGGGAAACTGCTGCCCCCCTCATCCCTGTGTCTGCCTCTCATCCCTGTTTTTATCCCCTCAATTCCTGTGTCTGCCCCTGAATCCCTGTCTCTGCCCCCCCTCATTCCTCTCTGTCCCCTCAGTCCCTGCCCCTCATCCCTGTCTCTGCCCCCTCATCCCTGTTTTTGTCCCCTCATTCCTGTCTGTCCTCAAGAATCGTGTAGGACCTTCCCCACCCCTGCTCCCACTTTAATGGTTTGGTGATTTCTCTGCCAGGTGTCTTAGTGTGTGTAAATACCTCTGTAAACCTTTCCACTTTCTCTCAGTATTCTTGATTATTGTTTACAAAAATAAGAGGAAAAAAAAAAAAGAAAAAAGAGAAAAAAAAATATAAAATATCCAAAGCATCTAATAGGTTATGGAACAGGGAGATGGATCTGATCTCCCACACAGAGCTGCCAGATGGGAGCTCTGTAACCATCCCTGTCCTGGGCTGAAGCAAACAGGGAATCGCTCAGCTTTCCCCCCGGGGTAAAGCTGGGATCTAAGAAAACAGGGATTTTTATCGGTGGTGAGAAGCCACACTGGAGGAGATGGGATTGATTCGCATCTCCTTGCGTTGGCCATTGTGGTTCTTCCCTTCTGCTGACAATAATTAACTCAATTGCTGCATCATGGCCCACCCTGCCCACGGGCACTATGCATGAGGGGACAGCCGGGGAGGATGGGGCACGCTCAGGGTCCTGCTGTGACACGGGAGTGTTTGAATGTATGACAAATAAAACAAAGATGCCCCTCACGAGGGGGTGTCTGCCCTGGGGCGAAAGCCTTGAGTCCCAAAAATCTCCACGAGGAGAGGGAAGAATGTAATCCATGTTTACTGCTAGCAACCAAAGCGTTGGTGTCAAAGCCGTGAAGTTTGAGGAGTGGGTGGGAGGGGAGGGGATGGCTGGGGTGCCTGTGTGTGTGTGGGGCTCGGGGTGAGTTACTCACACTTCCCAAAGTCATTTCCTGGAGTCCCTGCAGCGACATCCTCAGCTCCTGCTGCTGCAGGTTTTCCCCCCTCTGTTCATTTTATTTTTTGTTTTTTTGTACCAACTATGTAAAATGTGGGGTTTTTTTTTTCTTTTCTGGAAAAAAAAAATTAATAAAGACCATGGGCAATGGCTGCTGGTGATGTTCTGTGCGTGGTTACTTTTGTTTTGAGGGGCCCAGACCCCAAATGGGGGGTAGCAGGGCAGGGGGGTTGTGCTGGGAACCACACCCCACCTCCCCTTGCAGCCCCCCAAAAATGCCCCGGCCCTGTCACAGAAACACACTCTGCTTTGGGTGGAAGGGACATTAAACTCCATCCTTCCTTTGGCTGCTCCAAGCTCCGTCCAACCTGGACACTTCAGGGATCCAGGGGCAGCCACAGCTTGTGTGGGCACCCTGTGCCAGGCCCTGCCAAAGGGACAGCTTCTTACCAATCTGTCCCTGCTCTGTGTCCCTTTGAAGCCATTCCCTGTGTCCCGTCCCTCATCATCTCCCTATCCCCTCCCCTCAGTGCCTCCCCGCCATCTCCCCCCGTCCCCTCACAGTTCCCGCCCCAAATCTCCCCCCGTCCCCTCACGGTGCCCCCCCACCTCAGCGCTCCCTGCTCATGCGCGGCCCCGCCCCCGCGCGCCCCCGCCCCCGCGCGCCCCCCCGTGGGCGCCGCCGTGTGACGTAAGCGGAAGGGCACGTCACCGTCCGGCGGAGGCTGAGGCGGCGCCGCCGGCGCAGGTACCGGGGCCGGGCGGGAGAGCCGGGGCTTACCGAGGTTTACCGAGGCTTACCGAGGCTTACCGAGGTTTACCGAGGGCATTGCGGGCGCGGTGTGTGTGTCCTTCCGCCGTGTCTCTCCCGCTGGCGGCCGCGTGCCTCCCCTCACGGAGCCGGCGGGGGCCCAAGGGACGCCCCGTTCGCACCGTGCCTGGGAGGGCCCGGGGGGCTGCGGGGAGCGGGGTAACGGCGGGGTGTGCCTGTGCCTGTGGGTATGAATGTGAGTCCCGCTCCCCGCCGGGGCCCCGGGGGCTGGAGCCTCCCGGCTGTGCCCACCCGGCCCGGGGAGCGAGCACGGCCCTCGCTGCCGTGCCCGGGCTCGCAGCCCCGTGTGAGGGGTGTTCTTTGGGGTGACGGTGTCAAACCGCGTGTGAAGGGCTGCTTGCCGGTATCTGCCCTTTGGCAGCCGGCGATGGCGCTGGGTGTGCTCAGCCCGAGCCGTGCCAGGGGAGCACTGAGCTGTAGGAGCAGCCCGGGGTCCAGCAGTTCCTCGCTGTAATGTTCTGTGGTGCAGCCGTGGGCAGGGATCCCTTCCCGAGGGAGGAGGCAGAGAAAGCCCGCACGAAGAATTAATTCAGTGTAACTCGATCTGCTGCTGCCCCTGGATGCTGGGATGAAATCCAGGCCGTTGGGTCTGGGCTGTTTGTGCTGGTGGCACCCCGACCTTGGGGCTGTACGAACCAGTCGTGCAGGCTGGAGGACTCAGGGATGGTTTTCCTTGCACCAGCTGATGCAGAATCCACTCTGATGACACAGCTGGAAAATTCCAGAGCCTGTTTCTGAGCTTCCCCACTGCCTGATTATCAAAGGACTCCCACAGACAACATAAAGGGCTCCAGAGCAGCAAAGTCAGAGCTGCTTTTTCCCAAGTGGTTTGTTTGCTTTGGGCTCAATCACCTTTAACCCCTTTATTTTCATCTTCTCTTTGAAAAAGGAAAGGAGCTCTCGGTAAAAAATGTCGTGGATCAGAGAGGGCGAGCTGAGCATCATAGAGAGGTTCTGTGCCAACATCATTAAGGTAAGGGATGGATTTGGGGGGATTTTGTGGTGAAGAGCTGGCAGGTTCTTCAGGGTGGCTGCAGGGCTCTGGAAAGGGAGCGTTGTTGGCAAGGGTACATTTAGTGCTGGCACTAAATGGATGTGCATCCTTAAACTGCATCCCAGGGTGGGAGATTACTTAGGCTTAGCTTTGCAAATGAGCAAGGCTGCAGGCAGTGCTTGCCAAGAAGGATTTGTGGTCTTGCTGATGAAGGCAGGCCATGGAAAGGAGGGAGAGAAGAGAGATCCTCACGTTGGGAGTTTAAGGAATGAAGCTGAGTATTGGAACGAAAACTCAGCAGTTCCAGGAAAATTCTCTCCTTGCTCAGGCTGGAGACTGCTGGTGCTGCCCTTGTGAAGCCCAGTGAGGTCAGTGGAAAGGAACACTCCTCTTTGTGGGGGGAAGTCCTTACGACCTTTTCTTCTTTCCTCTGAAGTTGTGTCTGTGAAAAGGCTCTTGAGCTCTGAAATTAAAAATGCAGCATAAACCCCTGTGATCCCTCCTCCATGGCTGCAGGGACTGAGAGCTCCTGAGCACTGCAGCTCTCTGTGGTGAGAGAAATGGGGAAGGCAAAGCTGCTTTTCAGATTAGACAATTGTCAGCACCGAGCTCTTTCTTTGGAGCCCCTAAACTGGGCTTGGCAGAGAGGAAAGGAGCACCCTGCTCATTGCAGGGACACAGCACTGCACTCCTGGGAGGGCTGCTGGGACAGGGGGCTGAGCTCTCTGTGGTGCACAGCCCTGCTCACCTGCTGCTCCCTGTTTTCCAGGCAGGTCCCATGCCCAAGCACGTCGCCTTCATCATGGATGGCAATCGCCGCTACGCCCAGAAGTGTCACGTGGAGAGGCAGCAGGGACACTCTCAAGGCTTTGATAAGCTGGCACAGGTGGGAGGATGTTTTCTGCCTTTTTGGGGTGGAAGTTTGAGCCGGGTTTGCTGCTGGGCTGGTGTCCTGTGTTCCTTCTCTTCACTGGAGCCAGGCCTGTGCTTGGAGCTGATGTTCGTCATCAGGATTCTCAGCTTCAGCTCCTCCCTCTCTGTGGTATCTTGCAGAGTCATTCTGTTCAGCTGCTTTTTCTTCTGTTTTGCACTCAATTAAAATATCTACCTTCCAGATCTCAAGGCTTTTATTTCTGTGAAACAGGTTGACTTTCTTAGAAAAGGTTTTGAAAGGTACAGTATTATATAATTTACAAACCAGTGGTGCTTTTCCAGGCTGGTTGAGTCCCCTTTGATGGATTCTCATCCTCAGGTAGTGATATTTTCATCCTGTTCTCTAGAGCGAATGTGCAATTCACATCTAGAGGTTTCCTATTTTTGGCAGTTATTTCTTTTGATCCAGCCCTGGCCTGGTGGGGAACCACAGGAAGGTTTTCCATGGAGAAGTTGTGTCTTGCTGACCCGATTGTTACATTTTGTCTTCTTGCAGACCCTGCGGTGGTGCTTGAACCTGGGCATTCGGGAGGTGACAGTTTATGCCTTCAGCATTGAGAACTTCAAACGCTCCAAGGAGGAGGTGGATGGGCTCATGGACCTGGCCAGGCAGAAGTTCAGCCGCCTCCTGGAGGAGCAGTAAGAGTCTCCCATGTCTGTGTCCCACAGGGTGGAACTGGAGCAGGACATGAATTGCAGGGATGTTGGGAGAGTGGATTAAGTGAGGAGAGCCTTGCCCACCTGCAGTCAGAGATTGGAGGGGCTGTGCCTGCCTGGGCGGGGGTAGAGGTCAGTGCATGCACTCTCCTCCTGCAGGTGAGATTTGGGACAGCTGTGCCATCCAAACCATGGGGACAAGGACAGCTTGCAGATAAACACAGCGTGCCAGATGTTGTTTTCATGAAATATCAAAGCTTTGTCTTAATTTTTGGTTAGTTAGAGGTGCCCAGAGCCTGTGGTTGTATTCTAAGCTTCCAGAGGTAGGGATGCCTGATCTGTGATCATTTCCTGGTCCTTTGGTTATGTGTGTACCTCAGGAACTGGTGTGGGGAATGATCCCTGTGCCTTTATGGAACAGTTTGAGGTGATCAAATCTCAACCAGATTTGCACACCTGAAAACCATTCGGTGGTTTTGCCTTTCTCCAGTTCCCAGTTTTGCTGAAGCTGTGGGTGGATGTTGGCACTTGTGCAGTGGAGACTGATGTGTTTTCTGTGGTCCCCACTCTGGTTGGGTGCAGGGAGAACCTGAAGAAGCACGGGGTGTGCATCCGTGTCCTCGGGGATCTGCCCCTCCTGCCCGTGGATATCCAGGAGCTGATTGCCCAAGCTGTGCTGGCAACCAGGAACTACAACAAGTGAGTGACACCCAGCTCAAGGAGCTGAGACCTCACATCTTCCTCCTCTTCCTGAGGGCTGGGACTTGTCAGACATGCTACACCTCTTTTTTTTTTTTCCTTTTTGGTCCTACAAGCACACATCACTGTCACCTGCTGGACCTTCCCAGGATGAGCCTTTCACATCTTTTCCTCTTTGCAGGTGCTTTCTGAATGTCTGCTTTGCATACACATCGAGGCATGAGATCAGCAATGCTGTCAGGGAGATGGCCTGGGGGGTGGAACAAGGACTGCTGGAACCCAGGTAATAACTCTTGGCTTTCTGTGTGAGGTTTTTGGATGAATCCTGCCTGTCTTACCACTCACACTGCATGAGAAACCTCTCAGAAGCCAAGTGGCTTTTAAATAGATCTCATTAAACCAGTGTGACTGGAACAAATGACTTAAAGTTACTATGCAATGTTTGGCTTTTATTATTTCAGTTGCCATGGTGATAGATACACAACCAAGACAGAAGAGAAATTAGGTCTATGTCTTAAGTTAGTTTAAATGTGAAGGCAGATTTTATGCCACAACAATTGGCTGCTTGGCTGACAGTCTTAGCTATGAGGTCAAACAACAGATGAATCATGAATGCTGCACTGTTCCTCCACCCTGAAGGAGAAGGAATAGTTTCACTCTGCTCCCTGCTCCAGATGGAAGCCCTCACAGTCTGCTTCCACCACTGTGTTGTGTTTCAAAGAGCATGGAGTGGGATGCTCTGGGGGCTGAAATAGCACTTGGAATAGCCTGTGGAGCAGACAGCAGTGTCTGTCAGATGGAAGTGGATGGCTGGCTGTGCTTCAGCTCCACCACCCAGTTTTAATTTGCAGCCCCGAGTTTACATAAAACCCCTTAATTCTGGTGTGCCACATGCATCAGGTCAGGAAAGGGTGTGATAAACTGTATCTGTGTTTTAGTGATGTGTCTGAATCACTGCTGGATAAATGTCTGTACACCAACAACTCCCCTGACCCAGACCTGCTCATCAGAACCTCTGGAGAGGTTCGCCTCAGTGATTTCCTGCTCTGGCAGGTAAAGTCTCTGTTTTCTCCTTGGCATATTCCATCTTTTCCTCAGAGAGTGGTGTTCCACTGACTCCAGGTGCAAGTGGATGTGAGGGGTTACCTAACTTCCAGAATGGACTGAGTGCTGAGGCACCTCTGAACAATCTGTTTCTTGCAGAACTGTGTTTGCCTAAAATCATAAATTCTCATGCTTTTGCTCCTCTCCTCACCTTTAAGTAATTACTTGTTTGTAGAGAACATTTGAGTGCAGTGCCAAAACCCAACTGCCTTTAGGCAACCACATCAAATGTTCCCATTCCAAATTATTTAATTGGCAAGTTCTTAGAAGTTGTCTGGCCTGAGCTGTGCTTACCTACCAAGGCATCCCCTCTCCTCCCCCTGGTTTTGGGCACACCTATTCCCTGGGTGGGTATTGATGCTATGAAATAACACTTGTGGTAGAGGAGTCCTGTTATGTGTTGGATTGTTTTAGCAGTCATCATAGGAACGTATTTACCTGAAACTGTGAGGAACCTGGTGGCAAAAATAGGTTTTGACTTGAAATCTTTCATCATCCAGCTCAAGGATATCTTCAGTGCACCACAACTCTTGGCTTCATGAGGCAGTTTAAATGCCATGAGTGGGCAGTAAGGAATACCATGAGATGTCATTTGAAGAATGGCTTAAATGTCATGTCCTGATCCTCAGTTCAACTGTTATTCTCTTAGCCTTTGGTACTCCAGTGTTGCTATTTTAGGTTTTTTATAAGTCTGTGATGCTTAAGCTATTAAAAATACCTCTCTGAAGACCAACACGGCATTAGAAAGGATTCTGCTGATGCCTTTGCAGGAGTGGCTGTCCCAGCATTACAAACTAATTAGAAGGACTCTACACTCTGCAGTTTCAGACTTTCCTAGCTGGTTTTTGCCTCACTTTAAGTAGAATCTGATAACACAGCCTAGGTACAACCTTTGTGGGGAAAGTGGCATAGTTTGCCCAACAGAGTTGCATCTTAATGACTTTCTCTCTGGCTCAGGGATTAAATTGTTGGTGATCTTGCTTTCTGCAGACATCCCATTCATGCCTGGTGTTTCAATCAGTCTTGTGGCCAGAATATTCCTTTTGGAACTTGTGTGAAGCTATCCTTCAGTTCCAGATGAACCACAGTGCTTTGCAGGTAAGGGAGCCTTGGGGAAGTGGAAAGCCCAGCCCCATGTGTTACCTGCACAGCAGCTGCAGATCAGGTGAGAGGCTGCAGAGGGGGAGCAGTGCTTGTTAGTTAAGATCTTGTTTCAGTAGCAGCTCCTGTGTTGCTGCTCCTGCACCCCTGTGGCTTGTTACAATGTCTTGGTGCGTGGCCAGACTCCTCTGCTTTCAGCAAGACACAGAAATACCCAAAGTCAGCACTGTCTGTGTTACTCATGGCTCATTCCACCAGCTGGAGCATCTGTCCCAGACCTCACACCCCAGTGAGCACTCCTGGTCTGCCACAGGCTGAAATCTGCCAGTTCAACTCAGACACTTCAGCAGTGCTGTGAGCACAGGCTGCCTTCTCACTGGAGCAAGCAGGGAGTACTCACAGGCTCTTCCTCTAGCCCCACTGTTGTTTTCAGGGCTGTAACAAGTGGGTTTAGAGTTTCCTTTCTGGGAGCTGAAATGAGGCTGCTGTGAGTCTGTGGACAAGTGTCCTCTTTCTGGTGGGTCCACATGTGCCTGCTGAAGGGATTGTTCCTATTGCTCACTGACATTGTTCCTCTCCTTTTAGATGTGTTGCTGTGAGCTCTCCCTGGCCTGGATCTGGTACAGCTGGCCAGTTCAGTAGTGAGATAGTAGTTTGGCTCCTTTTAAGCAAAACAAGTGTGGGAGCTGGAGCTCTTGATGGAGAAATGTGGGGGGCAGCAGCCTGGGACACAGGGACAGCAGTGACTGGCAGAAGCACCTCAGTGTGGCACCTCCAAATCTCCACCATATCTCGCTGCTGGATGTGTCTGTTCCTTAATTATTTGGGTCCTCTTTTTAAAGACAGGCTTTGCATTGCCCTTTTCTACCTTCAGGGACCTTGCTCACCCCTGAGAGTTGTCAAAGAGATTATAGCCAGTTGTGGTTATGGCTGAATTTAATCAAGTGCAGCCAGTCTGGCAGCATCCAAACTCTCCACGTCTTTAACCTCTTTTGTTCCTATTTCTGGCCCAAGCCTGCCCTTTTCCTACCAGCAACTCATTGTGTTAGTACAACTAATGGCAGTTCACCTTCTGCATGAAGAGGGAAGCAGAAAAGGCAGTAGTGTTTGTCATTGCCATGAGCTTGGCCTCTGTCTGGAACAGTAAGGTCACTGTTCTGACTTTGCTCCTGGTGCTGGTTTCTGACAGGCAACAAATGCAGCTTCTGTTCCCAGCTATTCTCATCTTTTCTTAGTTCTGGTTGGTGGCTGGATGTGTTCATGCCATGCTATTATCAGGGTTTCTCATTGTCCACATTTGTTCTCTGGTCAGTTTGCTCCCTGGAAGGGCCACTTTGCAGTGTCTGAGGCTGTCCCTTTTTTCCAGGGAACCCTCACAATTGTGCAAAGGGAGGACTTCTCCCTCTGAGGAACTGAGATTTAGGAGCTGGTCTTTCTAAATTTAAAATGGGTGATCTTAAAATCCAAAAGAACTCATTAAGCAAATTCTCTTGGTGGAAAGGTTGCTGTCAGTGAGGATGGTGGGGATTTGCTGAGGAGCCAGGATGTTTTACAGCAGCTCTGTGTGCTTTGGGAATGTGCTGCAGCTTTTGGGATGTGGATGCACAGCAGGATGGAAGGGGGGACAAGGTACAGAAACCCTCCTTGATTTGGAGGTACTGGATAAAAGATCCTCCTTCCATCAGCATCACTTTTAATGGCTGCCATTTTATTTCCCAGCCTGTTGCCCAGCATGGAGTCCCAGGATCAGCTAGACCCTGCTTTTGGTACCTGGTAGAGCTCAGGAAGGAATGCAGGACCCTGCAGTGCTGAGCCTTTTCTGGGCAATGAACAGAATTGCACTTTGAGGGTGGAAATCTTCTGCTCAGCAGGCTGATGGTCCTTGTAGTTCAAGTCAGCCTGGAGTGCATCCATTCACTGGGTTTGCTGGGGATATTTCTGTTCACATTCCCAGCACAACAAAAGCTGATTTCCAGAGCCATAGCTGCCTTGGGCTCAGGGAGAGTGTGGGGATGAGTGAGTCAGGCTCTCATTAGAGTAATTATTCTTCTTGCTTGTTTGAAAGACTAGCACTTCCCAAGTGTGTGTGTGTATCAGTCTATGTCACAGTGACCAGTTTTTAAAAATAGAACTTTAATATTCCTGCCTGCTGATGTGTTTTTGCTGTTGGAAGCTGCAGGCCAGGACATGTGCAATAAGGAGAAATCTAAAAGTGATGTTCTACAACAAAATATTTGAAATACTTGAAGGGTAGACAAGGATGGCTCCTGCCTTTGCCTTTCTCCTGCCGTGTCTCATGCCAGTTCACTCTTAGATCACAGAAATTTGGGAATGCTGAGCTTATTCCTGATTTTGTCTTAAAGCTGGTTAGCTCAATACTGGATCATCTTAAAGAATTGCCCTATAAGTGATGGTTTGGAGTCCCCTAAAACCTTTCAGCAGCCAGGGGAATACAATCAAACATGCTGTGCTAACACTGGTGAGGGTAAGAGTGTGCATGTGTGGGGTTCTAAAGTTCTCCTGTGGCTGTTCCTCTCTGATTGCAATACCTGAGGGTTTTCCCACAATCTGTCCTGACTTTTATCTGTTCTAACTAGGAGTTAATGCTCTGAGCAGAGTCCTGACTTGGAGGGAAGGCCCAGAAGGAGATTTTTTTGTAACCAGTCTGCCTCAAGGTGGAAGAGGCAGAGCCAGAGCCAGCCTTGAGTGACCCTGCAGATGCATGGCCAGGCAGGGGCTGCCACCACAGGTGAGCTGATAGGCCTGGGAAGCTGCTAACACTGTCTGTTTTCACTCCAGAAGGCCAGAGACTCCTACCTGGAGGAGAGGAGGCGACAGCAGATGGAGAGGGACCAGGCTTACGTGAGCAGGAAGCTGCAGCAGGAGGGGAGCTCGTCCCACGGGGACTCGCGGCGCCGGCGGACGCTGCTGCAGAAATGCACAGCCCTGAGGGAGGAGAGGATCCAGGGCTTCCTGCAGGCCCTGGAGCACAAGAGAGCAGACTTCTTTGAGAGATTGTGTCCAGTGTCTGCCTGACACAGGTGCTGGGCTCTGGGGAGCACACTGTTCACAGGGAGCAGCTGCTGCCCACAGGGACTGGCTCAGCAGGGCCCTGCCCTGCCCTGGGCACCCGGGGCTGCTCCAGGACTGTCCCAGGGCAGGGGTGGCTGCTCTCAACTCTCCAGGCTGCGATGCTGCTGCTGAGGAACGTGGTGCCGTCCTGTGTCACCTCCCTGCCCTGGGGACCTGCACCCTGCGGGGTCCCTGACCAGGCCAGGTGTTCTGGTGACAAGAAGTTTTAACTGCAGGGAGCTCCTCCAGTTCTCTGGCTCCTCCTGAACTGGCCCAGCCAAACCAGTCCTGTTAAATCAGCCTGGGCTTGGATTCTCTCCATGGTTTTGCAGTAGGGAATCATCTGTTGAGATGTCCTCTGCTGTCCCATCAAGAGAGCCCTGCTTTCTGCAGGGAGGGGATTATTCCTGGTGTCAGGGACATTCCCACTGCCTCTTCGGGCACAGCATCTTGTCTTTTCCCCACCCGACTCTGCTGGGTTGGATGTATCCACTCCTGGTTTCCAGAGAGCCAAAGGAAATGTTCCCAGCCTTGCTGTAGTGAAAATTAAGCTGCTCCAAAGCTGCAGCAGGTTCTGAGATCTCTCCTGAGCAGTGAATGTGGGGAAAATCCAGGTGCAGAAAGTGTTGGACCACGCTGACCTCCTGAGCAGGCAGGAAAAGAAGGATTGGTTGGGAATGAACCTTCTCAGGAAAGAAAGGAAATTGGCTAAACGAGGTGATGGCTACCATATGGCAAACCCTCTGAGGGAGTTGCAGGGAATGAGGGTGGGTGTAATTCAGGAATACAGTAGCCAAAAAGCAACCTCTGACCCCAGCCAGAAGGGTTCAGAAGGGCTGCTTGGCTGATATTGAAGGGAGTGGCCAGAGCAGCTGTGGAGTGTTACTTGTTCTCAGTTTTCCATTGGCAGGGAGATGGACAAGCTGATTTCCAAGATTGTTTCTGTCTCTGATTCCTCCTGGTTTCCGTCCCCATCATCTAAATAACTGAAAATGTCTTGATTTTTGCTCCTGATGCAAAAACACAGGTGTGGCACTACCAGCTGTTGCTGGGCTTCAAGTGTTTCTTCTTACCTCCAGGTGAAAACCACAAAATGCAGATTTAAAAGCCTTGTAAGTGCTGCACACTGAGCACTTGGCCTGTGATTGTGAAGAGAAGAATTGTGTAGTCAAACTGGGAATAAAATATATTCATACCAAAGTTATTTAAAAAATAACCTGAATGTTTAAAGGTATGTAGAGCTGCTTATTTTAAGGTGTGATGAAGCTGGAATCCAGATTTAATATAATAATATTTAATCTGTGACAGACTCCTCATGTGATTCCTGTTAGCTTGGGAATGATTTGAAGGTTATTTTTACAGTGTAGTGTGAGCAGTTTGCTGACACCCCAAAGCCTGCCCAGGTGAAGCTGTGTGCAGGTACCACCTCTTGTGTGAGTAACAAAGAGAATTTGGATAAAAATGTACTGACATCTGTTGATTTTAAGCTTCTTTTGCTGTATTTTATTTTCTCCATGTTTCAGGAAACAGTGTACTCTCCATGAGATAAAAAATCTCCAGTCTGCTTTGCCAGGCTGATGGGGTCTCTTCTACTCAAAAAATGCATTTTTGTCTTAAGAAGAAAAAAAGGTTTTCCATTGTATTATGGCTCTACAGGTGATGAAAACCACAGTGGTGGCTTTCCACAAAGTACTGGTCCTGTTGCAGGTGAGGTAAGTGAAGGATCTGGTTTATAAAATACTTGTATGGGAAGTTTTAATCCATTTTACAGAAGCCACTGCTGCAGCAGGGGAGGAGGAAGAGTCCTTCAAGCAGTGGCAAAAGGTTCCTCTCACCTGACTTTGTACAGTTCACCTGCATCAGTTATTCCAGTAAATACAATTCCAGTTATTTCCCCTGTGAGCCTTCCTTTGTTAGAGGGTGGAGATGAGTTACTCCAGAGTTTGAGGAGTGAATCTGTGGGAGTTAGAGCCACAGGTTTCTGTCAGTGAGAACTGAGCCTCCATCATTAATTTTTATGGGTTGAAGATGGGAGAAATCAGCATGGCAGGAAAAACGTGTGGTTGAGGTCTGAAAAAGCCCGAGTTCACCTGGGCAGGGAAGGGGGGAAAGCTTGTTCCTTTGGGACGTTTATCTGAATGAAGCTCAACTAAAAAGTGAGCAGTTTGCGGCACAGGGAGGTGGTGATGAAGATCTCGAGTTGGATTTGTGGCAGTGCCAGGTGAGAGCAATGTCCCCTCCTGGAAGGAGCCCGACTTCCCCAGTCACTTGGCACAAGCAGCAGGCACCTGTGTGAATCGATTTCACGTCATTTGATCGCTTTTTAACATTTTTCTTCCCTCTCTCCTTGCAGCACTCCGCATTTCCCGTTCTCCCGGGGACCGGAGCTGCCCCGGGAGCCCCTCCCGGTGCGGGGGGTGCTGAACGAACAGCTCCGCTCACCTGCGCGCGGCCTCGCGGGGCTGCGGGGGCGGGGGGGGTGTCCCCCCTTTCCTTTCACATCCCAAATTTTTCACCTTTTCCCCTCCACTTTTTTTTTTTTTTTTTTTTTTTTTTTTTTTTTTTTTCCCCCCCCCCCCCCCCCCCCCTTGCCGGGTTTCCCGCGCGCGCGCACGGAAAGGGGGGGGGGGTGAATGGCGCGCGCGCCGCCCCCTCCGCGCGCCCCCCCCCAAAACCCCATCCCCTCCCTCCCCGCCTTGGCCCCAACCCCACGTGACCCCCGCGGGCCAATGGGCGCGCGGGGCGGCGGGGATCCGGCTGGAACCGGTTGGGCCGCGTCCGGCTCTATATAAAACTTTATAAACACCCGATTCCAATTAGTGGGGTCGGGAGCAGCGCAGCCCGCCGGGTCCAGCCCTCAGCGCGGCGCGCCGCTTCCCCCGCACCGCTCCGAGCCCGCAGCCCTCAGCGCGCCCGGCTCCCCCTCACCCCCGCCCGCCCGCCTCCCTCCCTCCGCCGGCTCCCTCCGCCCCCTCACGCCGCCCAGCGCGCTCCGCTCTCCCTCACACATACACACACACACACGCACACACGCGCGCACACACACACGGAGCCATGCCGAAGAGAAAGGTACGTGCAGCTGCCGCCCCCCGCTCCCGCTGTCCTCTCCCCCCTCACGGTGTCCTTTCCCCCCCCCTCACGGAGCCGCCTGTGGGAGGGGGGGGCGGGACTATGCGTTCCCTCCCCGCTTTCGGGGCGGTAACGGAGGCAGCGAGGCCTCACCGGGGGTGGGGGCGGCGCGGGGCCCGTTACCGGCGAGCCCCGAGGGGGGCCGGGGGTGCGGGAGGGGCCGGCGGTCCCCGCCGGTCCGAACCGGTTGGTTTTGGCGGGAGG